CCTCCCACGCCTTATTTACTATACCTGATTTACATACTATTGACGCTTTCTTGGAGTTTTGCGGATTTTCAAAAACATGAAACCCATCGTTTTAGAAGCTAAAAATTATCGCATTTCTTCTATTATTTCTGTAAGTAATTTTCAAACAACGCGAAATGTAAACAAATTGATAAAATTACCCGTTAATCTAGTTTCTAGAAATGCTGGAAACACACTGTAAATTTCGAAAAACAATGTTTAGAAAGCATGCAAAAACCTAAATCAGTTATCGGTGTTAATTCACAGAGCGTACCGGAAAAATTTAATTTTTAATAAATAGCAATTAGCAATCTTTAAAGCCCGCCCTAAAAAAGGTGACTAAAAAATGTTTCGAAAACTGCCAAAGGGTGCAGTGATTGTTTTGGCTCAATAATACCGAAGATTTGGGCGCATACCGAATAATCATATCCTTGGTGCGGCCGACGATCGAGATTGCCCCATTCTCATCCATCAGCGCCGTGTCCCTGCAAAATACACATTTTCAAAATTTTAGGAAATTAAGGTCTTTTAAAAATATTGAGGGAGATGCTATCGAATGTGCCAAACCGTTATAAAAATCTCTGTGATGCCCGGAAATAGCATTTTTTTTATTAAGGTGGTTGTTTACAAAAATTAAGGTTTTTGAAAAAAATTATCAAGTTTCATAAAAATGACAGCTCGCTCTCTCTTTTACTGGCTTATTGATCGACGATATGACAGGCCCTAGGTTCGTCTAGATAACCTAAAGAAATTCTATAAAATCAGACTAAAATCATAGAAGACAATAGATTAAATAAAATAAGACAAAAGACAAGAGATTTATAAAAATAAAACAGCTACCCGGTGTGGTACCAGCGCGTGTCGGTGATCTCCTTCTTCGTCTTTTCCTCGTCGTTGAAATAGCCCGACATTAGCATGTAGCCCCTGAAAACAGGGACAAAATAGAGACAGATTTACAAGGCGACAAAGTATACGAATGAGACTACAAACCTCAAAATCTACTGAGACTACAAGAAAAATGCCAAAGGGATGTAATGTATCACCTGGCCATCAGCTCTCCCTTTTCGCCACGCGGCACAATTGTTCCCTCCGCGTCGACGACACACAACTGAAAATAGGAAGGCTAGTTGGGGTTATTTGGGGGAAAAGAGATCAAGAGAGAGAGAGAGAGAGAAAGAGAAAGAGGAGAAAGAGATAGAGAAAAAGCAAGGGAGAGTGTGTGAGAGAGAGTGAGAGAGAAAGAGAGAGAGGGGAAGGGAGAGAGAGGGAGAGAGATAGAGAGAAACAGAGTGGTAAATAGTTTTCAAATTATGTCCGTATTTTAACGTCCAATTCAATTCCCCCGTTACCTCGGTATGCGCCGCAACGTAGCCGACATTTTTAATGCGCTCGAGCGGGGCCTCATCGAGCCGCGACAGCGTCACAATTGGTGACAGTTCCGTGCTCCCTAAAAATGAGATTAAATCAAAAAATCTGCATTTTCTGGTGAGACAATTTTTAAGCATTATCAGCCTCAGGACCACTATAACCCCAAAAATTCGACGATCTATCAAAATAGATGAAACATCAAAAAGTTTTTATAATTTTCTGAAATAAAAATATTCAAAAATAACTGTGACAAATTTAAGGTCACGCCAAGACAAATAAAATTGCGTAATTGCGTTAGCCAGATGAACCAGATTAAGCCCAGAATACAAGTAAAGCGTGAAAATAAACTACAAATTAAATCTATAAATGAATAAACACGAATTCATTTCAAAACTTATATAGAAAATCAGGAGAATTTGCGATGTTTCAACGAATTATTTAGCTCGAGGTCATCGACAGTTGTTTACTCAAACATTAAGCATTCTGAAAAGAACTGATTTTTGATATGCATCGAAACACTTTTTTTCGAAATTTGACCTTCGATATTTTATTTTTATTTTTATTTTAGATCTGGCACTTATTGCGCCCTAGTAATTCAATAAAACATATTTTGTAATGTTTTTAAATTTTTCGCATCGAAAAACTTTCTAAAAACCAGTAAAGCATCTCAAAAATCTAACATTTTTCGAACAGTTTTGTCCATTGTTCATGCATTTTTGAGGAAAAAGTCAGCGATTCTCGAAGCTTTTAGTTTCCGAAAAAGCTCTAAGTTTATTTAAAGTGTTTTGCTATTAAGACTGCAAAATGCTATGATAATTGCCGATTTTCAATCATTTCGTCCGTCGCAAAAATCGGAAAAAGGCAAAGCCGCAATATTAAGCATCCCGGAAAAGGCTGAAACTTCTTCTGGTTCGAAACACATTTTTTTATAAATTTGACTTTTCAGTTTTGTTTTTAGCTATCGTTGCAATTTCATTTGGAAACCGTTACAGAATAGTATTTTACCGTAGAGAACAGCCAGGTCGCGAAGGCCAAGATCATTCACCATCCGCTCGCAAAGGGCCACCGGGCACGGCGAGCCGGCAATGTAACCTGAAACATACCGGAATTTCGATTAATTTTTCGTTATAATTTTTCTAAATTTGTTGATATAATTGAAAATCTGGCGGGTTTTCCGGGAAAATTAGCTTATAAAATTTCGGCATTCTGAATTTCGACATTTTGAAAGAAAATCAAGAATTTTCTTATCTGAGCTATTGCAAAAGCTAAAAATGCATTTTTCGTTACCGGATCGCAACGACGACAGATCGCGCCCCTCGATGCCGTGCTTGAACACGTCGACGAACATCGTCGGCGTACCGTACAGAGCCGTACACCTGTAAAACCGTGTATCCCCCCGGAATTCCCAACTTTCTTTGCTCGCAAGCCCCGGTTTAAAAAAATTAAGCTAAAATGGATACCTCTCCTCCTCGACGGCGTCGAGTGTCGATGCGGGGTTGAACCATTTGTCGGGGAACACCAGGGATTGCCTGAAAAATGAAAATGATGCCTTTAAAATAAGTTATGTAATATCAGGGTATATCAGGTTATTATACTGAAGTCATAATTTAATCTCCATTTCGTATTAGCGGGAAACATCCAAAAAAAATTTAAGGTCATTGAAAGAACATGTTTTGGTTTTCGACAATCTAAAATTCGGCAGTCAGGAGCTGAATCGGCAGAAGTTCGTTTTCAATTCAGTTCTATTCCTCGAAAATGTTTGCTGCATTAGAAGTTTTTTGTAATTTTGGCTAATGACTGATTTTTGCAAAAACGGATTGATTAATTTCATTCTAGAATCGTTTTTTTTTAATTTGGGATGAAACATTTTTCGAGCAAAGTTTTACGTCTAATATTTTAAAAGCAACTGTAAAAATGCATATATCCTACTATCAGGTTGGATAATAAGTTCTGTCACAATTTTTTGAAATCGCTCGTTAAAATCGCAGATATTCAGGATTCTTTTTCGGATCCAGGTACCCAAAAAGGCTCTTCCCGACTGCCAAATTTCACGAAAACGCTACAGTAGGGGGTTTTCAAACATACTCAAAACGCTGAACATGTTTTCGAAATCTCGAATCCTACTATATATAAAAAAATAGTGTCTGTGTGTGTGTGTGTGTGTGTGTGCCACTTTGCATGCAACTTCCGTCAGCGTGTTCCAGTAGTATCTCAAGAAGAGAGGTATGTTTTATACCTCATTAGGTGCGTACTGGCCTTGGGATGACTGCACACTAATAACATTTTCAAAAATTAACTGTTTTCGACGTTAAAATTAAGTTTTTGTTGAAAAATCGAGGACCCTCTTTGTTAGGAAACAATTAGCATACGCCGGATGTTGCGGCTGGCTATATAAGGGAAGAGAGGCAGCGTTTCACATTTTTTGTCATCGAAAATCGCGAGAATTATGCAAAGTGAAGAATATCATGGGATCAGACGGGGCCAGGGTTGAAAAGACGCGAAGCGGCTTTTCAACCCTGGTTTAAATCGATAAATTCCCAGATTCCTACTTGTGGACGAGGGCGTTCAGGGTGCCCATCACACAGCCAAAGCAGTGGTAGAGCGGGTTCGGCACGCAGATACGGTGCTCCTGGAAATTTTGAGAAATACGGTGTATGCCGAAACGCGACACAAAAATTACTCTAGGTTTACACATCGCAGGATTTAATCCATCAAATTAAAATTTTAGAAAACAAAATCAAAAGAGAAAATTTTACAATTTTGAAAAATAGATGTTTCAACAATTTTCGATTCTAACTGGGGTTGGTTTTCAATAATGGGCAAAGCTCCCAGATTTCCAGAACTTTGACTGATGCACTTTTTTTAAAGCGTTTTGGTGAAAAATCGCCGATAGCGAGAGAGACAGAAAGAGAGAAAGAGAGCGAGAGAGAGAGACAGACAGAGAGAAAGAGATAGAGAGATAGAGCGAGAGAAAGAGAGAGAGAGAGAGAGAGAGAGAGAGAGAGAGAGAGAGAGAGAGAGAAACCCACTCCGATATGGTAATTGGTACCGATTCCCGTCAAATACGCATTGTTGACGATGTTGTGATGGCTGAGGGTGGCGGCTTTCGGGTGTCCAGTCGTTCCCTGAAACATATAGTTTGCGTTACAATATCAAGGTTTCACAAAAATTTTAGACGAAATGAAAAATAATTCGTCTAATGTGTTTAATCCACTGGAACGTTTAAAAATTCCCACCTTAAACTCGGCAAAAATAATTTCTTGTTGTCAATATTCAGCTATTAATTCCATTTCCTTGCATTAATTCCGCACTATCCACTATAATAAAAAAGTAAAGACGTCTGTCTGTGTGTGTGTCTGAAGCCGAATTCAACTCGACGGGGAAAGGAGCTAGAGCTTAGCTCTCTTCGGATTCGGATAGAGCGTGGTCAGAAACCCCCAAACTGATAAAAAAATTATGAAAAAGTTTTAGTTTAAATTATTAAAATGGTTCTTTAGGATTCCTGGGGAAAGTATTCCTGGGAAACCAAATTTTTTCCTGGTGGTCCCGGTTGACCTAGTAATCAAATATAAAGTGTTTTCGAATTGTTTTTAGTAAGTTTTAACTATATTTAAAGCAGAATAACTTTCAGAAAAATTTAGAAAAATGTTTGAAAAAGTCGAAAATTTGGTCATTTTGGGTCTATTTTTCGACCTAATTTTTAATTTTTTACATTTTTTTGGTTAAAATGTGTGTAGTTTTTATGCACAGGAATAGTTAAAAACAATTTAGAAACGCATCCGCAATTTATACAAAAATCTAGGCTTTCGCCGAAAAAAATTTGGTTTCCCCCCGCGGGAATACTTTCCCCCCCCGGGAATCCTAAAGAACCATTAAAATTAACTTTGAAAGTTTTCTCCTTAGTAAAAGGGGTGGGGACGGAGGTTGGCACGATTTTCGCATACAGGGTGTTCCAAAAAAAAAGGTCCAAGTTTGTCCCCGAATAACTCGAGAAGGAAACATATTTCACCATGCGTTACCATGCCAGAATGCTTAAATATGTCAGGAATAGGGAAATAACTCAACTTGATTTTTTCGATTTTTGGCGACGTACCCATACAAATGACACCCGAAAACTGTGCGTTCCGGCAAAACTTCGTTTGCACTTTTTTGGATTGCTGGTGGTCGAAAACTTCCAATTTTTACAGTGTAGGTACCTCAGGATCGCCCCTACGCACATCCGAAATTTTAGAATTTTTGAAGGTCAGGTTGACAAGTTATAGCGTGCTCAAATTTAATATGGAGAAATTTCGTAAATTTCGAATATTACAAAAACCTATGGTAGGAACCCGAACATAAGCTGTTTTAGCATGTCTATAGGCTTGATACAATCCCACAAAAATATAAAAAAAATTTTTTAGAACCGCGGATTTTTGAGTTTTTTGACGACCCCCTGGTCATGGATTCTTTCGAGGTCACGAAACTGAACTTTGGAAAAATATTCCTAAAATTGCAGATAGAATTTCGGTGTTTGCTTTGCTTCGTTGTGTAGGACTCGCGTCCATCTATCATGAAAACAAATTCTAGCTACCGCACCCGTTTGGAAGGGTGTCTTTTAGCGCCTCCAAAACGGATGGTTCGTGCTATTTCGCAGACCTTCGTGCCAGTCTATAAAATTCAGTTGCGCGGCTAGAATTATTGTCATACTTTTATTTAATACCGCTTAATGGGCGCATCCTAAAATTATATCTACAAATTTATTGGGCCATCCGATCTTTCAAAATAAATTCATGAAGAGTCAAAATATACCCGACTTTGAGGCGACGTAAAAAAATTCTCGAGGGTTTAGTAGGCCCGACTTTTCTGGCATAGACCAAGCTTGGGTAGTCAACTAGAACGCATGCAAATCACAACCCTTTTCATGCCAAACGAATTTAGAATAGCACCCCAAAGTCGGCTTTTCAAAAAACGTTATTTTCGGGTTTTAAATCAAAATTAACCATTAACTTCAGCCAGATCATTGCAGAATTTCGCTCTCATGCACAGTTCGATACGTGCTTGAATTGTATCCACCAAACCCCGGTGCCTTTTTCATTTTCAAAAATTCGATTTTCGAGCCAGGGCGTCGGGTCCAAAATCGGGGCCCGAGGGGGGGTTTTCCTCTTTCGCTGATAACTTTGTCATTTGCCACAGGAATCAAGTAATTTTTTGTAGGTGCTCTTACAATCACCCAGAGAACAGTCTAGAATCGAAAAACCGTCACTTTATGGAATTTTTTCTTGGCATGCTAAAACGCGCTCCAGGCGGGTTACTGTAGAAAACAGAAAATCGCCGTTTTCTCGTTCTTTTCACCATAGAAACGTTTCGATCTTTCAGGAAAACAAATAATAGTAGTTTTTAGTCCGATGCATCGAAGTATTTAGAAATTTCCGTGGCTAAATTCAAAAATAAGTTTTTTGCATATTTTGGGAAGGTATATGGCTAGAACTCCACGATCTTTGGCCAATAGGTGACCCTTACTGGTGTTTACCAATGAAAAAATTTTAAGCAAAATCGCAGCCACGATAAAAGAAAAACGCGAAAAACCAAAACTACAGTATCCCTCTGGGGCACGTTTTAGCAAGCAATATTAAAATACCGTAGAATCGGGTGATAACTGGCGTTGGATCAAAGATCATCATTTGGAGACACCATTTGCAAAAGATCAGCCATGGGCAGAGAATTTGAAGCGAGTTGCGAATTAAAACGTAAAAAGATGCAAAATAGTAAAATTTGTATTGCTTCTAAAAAATGAAATTGACCTCGATAAATTCTAAGATTTTGCCATTACATTTCTACAAACATAAGCTATTATTAGGCCAAAAATCAGAATTTTCCCACCACCCGTTCAAGAACGCACAATTTTCGGTCGTAACCAGCGTCAATAGTACAGTTGCGTACTCAAAAATCGAAAAAATCAAGTTGAGTTATTTCTCTATTCCTGACATATTTAAGCATTCTGGCATGGTAACGCACCGTGAAATATGTTTCCTTCTCGAGTTATTCGGGGACAAACTTGGACCTTTTTTTTTGGAACACCCTGTAGTGAGCCAGGTCGCGCGCGTTTCGTGGATGAAAATTTTCACGGAGGATTTCATTTCTTTTTTGCTCTCATTCCATCCGGTCGGTCGTTATTTTCGTTTTTTTAAAAGGATTTCTGCTAGGGTAGGTTTCTGAAGCCATCAGGGAGGTATCTAAGTAGTTTTTGAAGGGGATTTCGGCTATGGGGGGTATCTGAAGCCATCAGGGAGGTATTTTGGTAGATTTTTAACGGAATTTCGACCCGGAGGGGTATCTGAAGCCATCGGGAAAGTAGCTATGTTTTTGTGGGGGGGGGGGGTTGGCTAGAGGAGGTATCTGAAGCCATCAGTGTAGTTATTGCCATGAAGGCATCAGCGTAAGGTAGGGATTAAATGTGGTGGTGTAGGATATGGAGGGTGGCCCGAAGTCCAGCCGATTGCAGTCGCGAAGCGACTGTAATCGGCTGGTTAATGAAACACAAATTTGTCACGCAAAAATCTAAAATTTTTGAAAAATCATGTCTCATCATTTTTTAGTGACCAGTGAAAAATGTGATCGCTAATCTTCCAAGCTTTCCGCTCGGTCTACAAACTTTTTCCTACCCCACGTCCCAAGTACCGTAACCCGTGACGTACACTGGTGTACTGTATATTGACAGGCGTATCGGGCCCAATTCGACGGTTGATCTCCTCGAGACGCTGCTCCTCCTCGGCCCCGCCCATTCCGACAACATCCTCGAAACGCCAAGCGCCCCTGAAAATGAAACGGAATAATCCGTTTTATGGGTTGCAAAACAATTTATTTTTTCAAAATTTCAATGTTTTACAGAAATTTAGATTTTATCAATAGGTAATCCCACCAATTTCTAAAAACCTCTTTATTTCAACGTGCAGAAAATTGCTGTTAAAGAAATGTATTAAAAATGGTACATACTTGACCGAAAATTTTTCATGTTTCAATAGTTGTCAAATATGAATTACTATTGCTGATTTTAATATACGGTTTGTACATCGTTTTTAATTTTTCAATTCTGTTAATGTTAAAATCTTAAATCTAGGGCAAAATTATAATTTTCGGCGAATCTGACGCCATTCTGAAATTTTTAATGTTTTAGGGTACTTAAAACCAGAGGCCATACGTTTTGAGTTATGATCAATGCTGAATAAACTCAAACAAAGAATCTCGGTTTATTTTTTAATGTTTCAAAAAAATTAAAAATCGACATTTGCTGTTCGACTAAATTTCATTTTGTTGGGTCTTTCGCATGATCGAGCGGGGAGGGGGCGGCTACCTAAATCTTAAAAAAATTTTATTACGCCATTTTTGTCCAAAAATCGGCCATTTTCGTTCAAGTTCGGTATATTTTCAATTTTTTTAGCAACTTGTTAGTTTTTGAGATTAAGAATAGTAAACAGTTTACACACTTTCTATTGATATAGGAAAACCGTAGGATCCCCAAGGAAAACAGTTCCCCCTCCCCCGATATTGCAAAAGTACCCTTTTCGTTAAATCGAATTCGCTTACGCAATCAAATAGCTCCGTGAAATGCGGGAGGGGTGGGGAGTGGCTGTCTGTGTTCTCTCTATCTCCCCACTCTCGCGTCTGCCTCTTTTCTCTGCGTCTCTCCGGCCTGTCACTCTCTCGCTTTGCCCAGTCTGCCATTCCATAGTTCCATTCCAGCTGACAATCCCTCCTAGTTGCCCTACATCAACAACAACTCTATCTCTGTCTATCTCTCTTGCTCTCTCTCTCTCTCTCTCTCTCTCTCTCTCTCTCTCCCGCCTTCTCTTTCCGCCCCATTACTGTTTACGCGCTCTTTTGGCACGAGACTCGAGACGTACTAACTGGCTGATCAGCAAAAGTTCATTTCCGGGCTGATCAGGGGGGCAGAGTCGACGGCAAAAGCACTTTTTCATGGGGTTTTTCGCTCTGGATTCCGCAAAAGTCACTGCTAGCCGGCCTTACTGATTTTCGGCTTACCTCGGCCAATTTGAGGCGCTCCCCATTTCCGTAAAAATTCATCAAAAATCAGTGCTCGCCTGCCCTAATCGCCTTTATTTCTAGCTTTATTTGGTTTCCTATTTTTAAACTTGCGAAATTTTTGGTTCCTATTTTGTTCGTATTTTAATTTTCGTTTAATTTTAGCAAAACGCATTTTTTTGTCTAGGATTTACCGTCACTTTCATAAAAGAAAGTATCACGTTTACTTGAATACGCCAAGAAACTCTGCTAGCCTGCCTCCGCTCCTCAAAAATCGCTGCTAGCCAGCCCACTTTTCGAATTTCTTGCGCCATTCAATTTCTTTAAAAAGCGATGTTTCAGTTCTGCCACTCCTTTCCGGGGTTTTCTCTCTCCCATTCCCAATCTCATAGGTGCAAGAAAATTCAATATCGCGTTATCGATTAATTGTTTTCTGTTTTACGATGCTTACTTTGGAAATCCTTAATTATCAAAAGTAATAAAATTAATATGCTTCAGAAAAATGGCCTATTGGCTGGCGTCGGGTGCCAGCTACCTGGCGGGACCCGTCTACAATTGGGCCGTCGACAGTTGCGTACAGTACGTTTTATTTTGGTTAAATTGTGTTCATTTTATTTAAATTTAACTCCAGAAAAGGCTAAATTTCAAGAAAATCAGATAAAAAGTGATCAAATAATTTTTGCGCGGAATTGTTTTTGCTATAAAAAAATATTGTTTCGAATTTGTTTAAGGGACTGGGGCGCGAAATGTGGCTATTGGGATGTGAATTGAATTCAAATAAAAAACAAACACGGATTCCAAAAATGCAGCCAAGAAATAGATTCCGAGGAAATATTAGCTATTTTAATCATTTTTAGTAAAATTTAACGCTATTTCGAATCGAAAATCTAGCTTAAAAATGCGTAAATTTTACCAATTTGGTCAAAAATCGATTTTTTAGGATTTTTTTTAAACAGAAGAACGTCTTGACGCCTAGGAGTTGTTAAAACCAGGGTTGGTCACAAAGGATCCGGTCCGCGGACGGTCCACGGTCCGGTCCGGTCCGGATCGGTCCGAGTGGATCCGAGAATTTCGGACCGGACCGGACCGGACCGGACCGGACCGGACCGGACCGGACCGGTCCGGTCCGGGCTGAACACAAAAGGACATGATTCAGGAGCCAGATATGGAAAATTTTGTATGCAAAATACTCCTCGCGAAGAATTTGACATATTTTTCCACATCTAGGCTACTAGCCGTCGAGTATATAGCCAAAAATTAATGGGGGACGAATAGTTTTATACATTTTGATTAAGCGAATTCCACATTGCGTCATTTTTTGGTACGCCACTCTTTTGCATTCCGAATTTGCATGTTGCATTTCCGTTTCTCCTAGCAAATCAAAGCCCCTCGGTCCGCCACGGACCGGACAGATCGGTCGGTCGGTCCGGTCCGGTCGGATGGAAATTTCGGACCGGACGGGACCGGACCGACCCCCGGACCGGACCGGATCCGATTAGGATCCAGCGTGACCAACCCTGGTTAAAACGGTTTTTCGATGCCGTTTTTAAATCTATCGGTAACCGTCGCTCAATTATTTTGTGGTAACTTTGCGAAAGCCAAATTATTTTTGAAACACTTGATTTTCATAAAAATCAATTTTTTTTCCCGTAAAAATGAAATATTTATATTTTTTTCGGAATGCGTTGCGCACGCCGTTCCTTGGACACGCAATTTGTTGTGCCACGGAAATTTCGTGAGGGAAGGGCTTAGAAAAAGCGCGTGGCCCATTCGGGAAAACGATCAGATAACGAGGGCAGCAGATGACCAAAAAAAACAATATTTCCTGGCCCTGCAAGAAAAATAATTTCGCAAAAAACCCCGATTACCGTATTTTATGAATTTTCTCAGATCTTAGAAAAATTACCAAATATTATTTTGTATTTTAGAAAGCAAGATATGGAGGCGTTGAAGGCAAAAATCCACGCGTACAATGAGAGGACAAAGGTTGGTTTTGGTTTAGCCTTTTAAAGGGCAAACTAGCAGAGAGAATTTGTGGGATTTTGCAGGCGAGCTAGCAGAGAGCGTTAGGGAAAAATATTCACCCCAGGGCAGATGGGCGAGCTAGCCGAGTTCTTTTGGGAAAAGCTCCAGGCATGCTGGCAGAGATCTTTTAGGAATTGTGCAGGAACAGGCTAGCAGAGATCTTTTACGGAACAATAGTTTTTTGTGGCCGTGGCTGGCGGGCAAGCTAGCATAGTTTCTTGAGGTCCATTTAGGTTTTCTTAACTTCGCAGGTCCATTTGTGGAAGATATTTTTAAGAAACAGACGGGCATACTAGCAGAGATCTTTTAGGGATAATTTCTCTAGACAGTCTAGCAGGGATCATTTAGGAAAATTTCCTCTGGGCTAGCAAGCTGAGGTCATTTGCGACAAAATAGTTTTCTTAGGCCCTGGTTGCAGGGCACGCTAGCAGGGATTCTTTAGGAAATACAATCACCCGGCAGGCTAGCAGAGTCCATTTGCGGTAAATATTTCTGAGAACAGGACGGGAATGCTAGCAGGGAATCTTTGGGAAAAGTTCTCCGAGACAAGCTAGCAGAAATTATTTGCGAGAAAATAGCAAAAAATTTTAAATCCCCCCTGCTACTGCACTGGAACCAAAAACCCGTGTTTATTGCAGGAAATCCCCGAACGGTTCGACTATATGCTGATGGAGATCGAGGAAATGGGACTGACGTGGGATCAGTTCAATTTGTACATGCTCTACTTGATCGAGAAGAGGAGGTACAGATACAAATAATTCTTAGTAATAGTAATAAATTTTATTAGTAATAATTAGCAAAAGATACGAAAAATAAAGCTAGCGATTTCGATGGCTGAATCAATAAAAAAATTTGGCGTAACTAGTTAAGAATTTTCGAAGCAGATAATTTTGAAAAATTTAATATAACGGCTGGACGTAAGCTAAAAACCATTATTCAAAAAACATATGAATTACGAAAAAAAAGTCGGTGTCCATAACAATTTTTTTGAAACACAGGATTTTTGCAGCCGAGAAAATTTTAATTTCTCAGGCTCGAAAAAAACAAAATATACAAATTTCGATTTCTAAAGGGTCGATAAATGAAGCCAAAGGTTTCCCTAACTTGGGAAATCAAAGTAATTGCCCTATTTTAAACGATGCGAGACCGAACCAGTATTAAGCACAAACATTACGCCATTACACATACCTCCAGAATTAAATTTTTTTGAAACACAATGTTTACTAAAATTCGAAAGGAATTTTGCTAATCTATAAAACTAGGGTGCGCTGAGCTACTGCTGGATTTTAGAAAAAACACAGGAAGCTAGAAGTCGTTATTGGCAAACCATCAATCAACGGAAGCATTAAAAACGAAATTTGGGGCTCCAAAAATCATTTTTGCGAAAACAAGCAATTTCAAAATTCGTGATCCGGAATAAGCGAAAATTCCGACATTTTAAAGGGATAGGCCAAAGCTCAAAGTTTATTTTATCACCATTCCAGGAGGTTGCATTAGGCGAGAGGTAGGCGCCGTGAGGTAAAAATTTCACGAAACAAACTTTTTTAAAAACTCGTGTCTTGATTTTCTACTTTACTGGCTTGGGGAATCATACGAAAGTTCCATATTTTAAACGAACGATGCTATATTCAAAAAATTTTCGTAGAAAACCACAGAAATTCAGCTTTTTTGACACAATGCCTAATGTTCAATTAAGAAAACGGTAGCCCGGACGCATCAGGTGTAACCGAAACACAAAATTTTAAAACTTCGGAAAAAGAAAAAAATTTTTTTGAAACTTCATAAAAGCTTTAAAATTTGGTAGATTTTTAGAGCAATTGTGCCACACGCATTAGAAAATTCTTTAGAAAACGGCGAACGCGCGAGGACCGAATTACGGGCTGGGAGCTGGCACATCGGCGGTGGATCCAAGCTACCACGGCCCTATCCCCTGATAATCTACTCGATGTGGCTAGTCAGTTTTGTAAAAAAAATTGATCGCTGTCGACAGGGCAAGCTAGCGAGATTCTTGTGGGAATACACAGGGCAGGCTAGCAGAAATATTTGAGGAAAGCGACCGACCGGTTTTTCGAGTCGGAATCGCAGGAGGCAGGCTAGCAAAGATTCTTTGGTTGCAAACGTGGAGGCAAGCGAGCAAATACGATTGAGGATCAAATCGGGAAATCTAACAGGTTTTTTTGGGAAAATGAGGGGATAGCTAGCAGAGAATTTTTAGGAAACAAGGAGAGGGCAAGCTAACAGAGATTTTTGTGGAAATAGGTAGAGGCAGCCAGCGGAGATTCCTGAGTAAATCAAAAGCCACAGATCGGGCAAGGCAAACTAGCAAAGATTATTTAGGAAAACACATTCTTCACGTGAGTAGTAGCAGAGATCCTTTTTGAAAAGGTTGGAACGGGCAGGCTGGCAGAGATTCTTTGCGGAATTTAAAGCCTCCAAGTCTCGCCGGGCATGCTAGCAGTGACAATTTAGGAAAGTTATTTTTTTCCTTGACTAGCGGAGATTGTTGGGGAAATTTTAGTACTATCTCGGGCAGGCTAGCAGAGATTATTTGCGAACAAAAATTCCCAAAAATTTGTTTTATTTTTAGAAAATGCGCGCGGAATCAACGTGAGCGAGACGGTGTCCAGCTATTTGGTATCGCCCGTCTACAATTGGGCCGTCGATAGTATCTACGGGTAGGTCAACTAGCAGAGATTCCTTGGGGAATTCAGTTTTTAAAGGGATCATGACATTTTTTTCGATTTTCTAAGAAAACCTAACGGACAACCAACCGAGATTATTGAGGAAATTTTAAGAGCATGAAAGGGAGCGTCACATCACATTGTCCTGGAATTCCTGGCCAAGAGCGGTGATATTTTTGGGAACTTAAAAACGTTATTGAAGAAGCCCAATTTCCTGTTCAAGCGAACCCATAATTAGTATAACCTCAAAATATTTTAATTTTATTGTTAGATGAAACACATTTTTATTCCGGTAATTTTTTGAAACGTTGATAGGAGTTTTTCTTCCAATTAATTAAATTTCAGCGGCAGGAATAATTACGCTTTCTCACAAAATTTTTCTTTTTAATTTTGGATGCAATATTTTTTATTGAAATCAATATCAAATCCTGAAACGCTTGTTAAATCAAGCCCGATTTTTCAATTAATTTCATTCATTACTACGAGGTAAATGTTGCATGGTTTTATACGTTTAATGCAGACGCCAAAAAATTCCTCACTTTAATTGCTTATGAAACATTTCTGTTCAATTAAAAATGGCTACCTGGATCACTGTTAAACCAAAACTTATTTTTAAAGGGCACGTTTAGGGACGTTTTTTGGAAAAAAGCAAAGATTTTTGCCGCGGCAGGGGGTCGAACCCGGGCCCCCCGCTCGGGAGGCGCGGTTGGATACCAGTCAGCCACAGCTACAACCTGGCGAGGGGGCGAGGGGGGCTCCACGACGCAAAGGAGGGGAATGGCCTGTCACAGCACGGGCAGTCCGTGCGCGCGGTCCCTACGTCCATAGGGTGTACACGTTGGGACGAGTACACGGCCCCTCTCTGAACGTGCGCTTTAAGCAAATTAATTGTGAATAGATGTCTCTATTTTACTTGCCTAAAACCTTCTGTTTTAAATTACCGATGAAACATTTTTTAATGACAAACTATTTTTAGAAAGCCGACTTTCGAGGAGATCAAGGCCAAAGTCGAGAAGTCACTGGAAGAGAAAAATGTACAGTAATATTACGCGTAATAACAAAAAAAAATCGATTCAGGAACCGGTGGCAAAATTCGAGTCTTTCATTGACGGGGCCGAGGCGATGGACATCACCTGGGACGAGTTTAACCTATTTATTGTTGACCGATTGGAGCAGATCAGGTGCGGAGCTGTGGAAATAAAAAACATGTTTCGAAAAATATTCTGATTTCATTACGACTTCCAATCAGTAATTAACGTTAATTCTTTTTTTCTGACTAATGCAAAAACTCCAAAATTTATTTCTCAAAAAGACCTTTATTTTACAATCCATCAATAAATGCAACAGAAAAAGTAGAAATTAGCTTTATATTAACTGTCTAAAACTATCAAAATTAAATTTTGATAGTCAGCAATTTCGAGACGCTAAATTGGATAATCTTGTATCAATTTGTAGAATTTGCATCGCCTGACAAATTTATTTTATATTTATGTATAGATTGATGTGTTTCTAATCTTCCCCCCAATCAAAATTCGAGTAGAAATCCAGCTTTCCTAAAATTAAAATATTAAAATCTATGAAACACAAATTATTTGAAAATGGTTTGAACTAAAACGAGTTTCAAAAATCATGGAAAAAAAGATGTGGCAAGGCTGAATCTCTATCAAAACGTATTTAAACAACCAAAAAACGTAAATTAAGACGACGCCGTACGCGCGAGGACCGAATTACGGGTTGGGAGCTGGCGCACCGGAGGTTGATCCATGCGCGTGATACGCTAACTCCTTCTGGATTTGCTGATTGGGCCGGTGGGTTTTAGGTGCGTTTTCAAGGGACCGGGAAGGGAAGAAGAGATCTGACGCCAATACGGGGTTGAATTTGGGAAAACTGTTTCGCTAAAATTAAGTGCCGCGAAAAACGAGGCCACTAGTCCGCGTGTGAATTCCGACCACAATACCGGAAATGAAATCCCTGGCCCAATTTGGATAATTAAAGCCGGAAATGGAGGATCGATTAGCTCGATTTTCGGAAGTGGTTTTGGAAATGTGTTACGCCAAAAAAATGAGCGCCGCGAAAAACGAGGTCACTAGTTCGGTTCGGTATGGCTCCAACGTAAAACTACTGACCAATCGAATACGATGAAAACCCCAAATTTCGAAAAACAGAAACCTTTTTGGTGCAAAATCTGGATTTTTTGGTGTGTTTTTGGTAGATTCCCAATATCGAAAAAGCTAAAATTATTGAAATGGCCTCACGAGTCGAAAAATAGTCTCAGAATTCTCAAATTCACGCGTTTTCACGTCGAAGGCACATGCGGCGCGATTGCGTGGCGGCCTGGTTAGCGATTTTTCAGGAATGAGCGGGGGGGAAGAGGGTTTTGAAGAGACTATACTCTGCCATACCCCCAGGGGGTATACCCCCCATGGGGGTACAAAAGGGTACAGGTGGGGGGTACAAGGGGGTACAGGGTGGGGGTACAAAGGGTCACCCCACCCCCTACCCCCCCCACCCCCCCACCCCCCACCCCCCACCCCCCCCCCCCCCCACCCCCACCCCCAGCAACCCAACAAACTTTTTCCAGTGACCTCCCACACATACCACATATCGGTGGCTCGCAAAAAATTCAAAGAGGAATGACGAAGTCCGCCGGAATTTCACCAAGGCAGTTAATAAAATAAGAAACTTGAACTAAACATTTTTTAAATTTTTGTAATTTTTTCCACTTAAAACATGTCTGAATTTTACTAAAAAATTATTGAAACTCTTACTATAACGTTACCAGGGTTTCTGGGTTTATTTCAAAAAGTTTGGTCCCCCGATAAACTTTCAACTTAAAAAAATGTTTAGTTAAAATTTGTTATTTTATTAACTGCCTTGATACAATTCCAGCTGACTTCGTCATTTCTTGTTGTATTTTTGCGAGCCACCGACATGTGGTATGTATGGGAGGTCGCTAGAGAAAAATTTGCTAGGCTGCTGGGGTGGGGGAGCCCTCATTTGTACCCCCACCCGTACCCCCTTTGTACCCCCCACCCCGTACCCCCTTTGTACCCCCACCTCGTACCCCTTTTGTACCCCCATGGGGGGTATACCCCCTGGGGGTATGGCAGAGTATAGAAGAGACCGAGCAGCAAAAGACAGAATTGGCTCGAATTTCGGGAGTGGATTAGGAAAAAATGTTTCGCCAAAAGAATCAGTCCAATGAAAATCCATACCCTTATTATCATTTGAGAATGGTCCATATTCATGTCGTAATCGGTTAGCCTTGATGCCCAAAGCAGTCTAGCACGTTGCCAAAACCTACAATTTTACAGGTTGTGCCTTCAAATGGCATGATAGGACAAAAAATGTCAGTGTTTCAGAGCGCAGAAGCCAAAAATTCTCCACTGAACACGCTCAAAAATATGTTTCGGCAAAAAAATGAGTAAGGCGTGAAATTATGTCAGTAATTGAGAATTGATGTTGAATCTAATTTATCGTCGTAATCGGTTGACCCTACCCTCCCAGGTTTCTTGCCAAAAATATAAGCCCGTAGATATTGGCTTCCCAGCTCCTTTAAAGGACCGCTCAAGGCAACAGAAAGCTCAATTTCATGGCGTAATCAAATAATTTCAGCGTCGAACGCGCAACTGGTACGGGATTTTGTGGGTGACGCCCTCGTTCCAACCGCCGTCCAGAATGCCGTCAAAACACTCTCCAAATTCTATTGGCCCGCCGAATAGGGCAATTTTAAAGGGGCAGTGACACCTGGGATTATCTGGGTGCTCGACTCCTAATGTGATTTTACATAGCGTAATCGGTTGTGATTTTATAACTTTCAAAAAATTGCTCAAACACCTAGCGAAGTGGATTTTACAGGGGCAGTGACATCAGATTTTCTCTCATATTTATTTCCCCAATTTGTCTTTACATTACTTAATCGATTGTGATTTTCCAACCCCCAAAATGCTCAAAAAAAACTATCTAAAGCGATTTTAAAGGGACAGCGACACTTGCGATTTTCCATTATTCATTTCCCCCGAATTTCCATTTACGTTGCGTAATCAACTGTGATTTAAAACCGCCAAAAATTTCTCCTATTGCCAAAAATTGCTCCTATTGCCAAAAAAACTCTCCTCCAAACAACGAGTAATCCATTCCACCCCACACCTGTGAACGCTTGCCCCAACATTACGTGTAGTTTTTTGTTTTGTATGTACTTTTACAGGTGAAAATCATCCGGTTAGGCCCCCATTCCAAGGTTACGGTACCTCTCAAATAAACATAATGGATCTGTTTCGCCTAATTCCATTGGCTCGTATTTCTTTTTCTGGTTTAAAAATTGATGTTTCCTGGTTTTGCAAAGCTCAGTTGTTTAATTTTGCCACAATTAATACCGCTGCGTTGGTGGCTTGTCCTAACTGAAATTTTTAAAAATGCTAATAAATAATCAAACTACAAAGTGATTCGTGTTATTGCCCTTGTAAGTACTACGGTATTTCTCAAATAATTAAAAGGGATTTGTTTCCCACAATTCCATTTGCTCAGTATTTCTTTTCTAATTGGAAAATTTATGTTTCAAGATTTTATGAAGTCCAGTTGTTCATTGTCAGAACTAGACCTCCCGAACCCCCCCCCCCCCCTTTACCCCCCTACTTAGGGGGGTTGGAGGGGGGTTGGGTAGGGGGGTTTTGGGGGGTTGGGCAGGGGGGTTTTGGGGGGTTGGGCCGGGGGTTTTGGGGGTTAAGCAGGGGGGTTTTGGGGGGTTTTGGGGGTTTTGGGGGGTTCGATACATAAACTATAAGTTAACTACACTTATTATACTTATGTTTTTGCTTACTATTAGCTTTAGCAAGTAATGAACAACCATTACGGCACGAAAAAAGTGGGAAAGCGGTTAGTTTTGTCGGTTTTGCTTGCTGCCAATGGATAACAATTGATTAAACCAGTTTTTTGTTATGTTCAACCACGAAATCTTGTTAAAAAGTGTAAACTAGCTTTCCTATCCAAAATACCTGCGATTTGACAACATTTTAGACACCAAATCTTCCGGAAAGCAAAATTTTTGATCGAATTTTCATTTCCACGCTCAAGGCTGGCAAAACGCTGCAATTTTGGGCTAAACTGTTTCCTAATGAGTTATTTGTGTAGGGCATAGCATTACAATCAATTAATGGTGTCATTCCGAAAATAAAAACAAGCCACACTCTCAAATAAAGCAAATAAAGCAATTCACCGGGTACCAATCGGGGTCGTACTGGTTTAAAAACAAGTTCGATAAAAAAATTGTCTGCCCTCTAGGCTTGTCACACCCCCCAGAACCGAATACCCAAAAAGCAAAAAGTTTTCCCCGCGGCCGGGAATCGAACCCCCGACCCTCTGCGTAATCTCCTATAGGGGGGTTGGGAGGGGGGTTTTGGGGGGTTGGGTGGGGGGTTGGGAGGGGGGTTTTGGGGGGTTGGGTAGAGGGCGTTTGGGGGGTTGGAGGGGGTTGGGCGGGGGTTTTGGGGGGTAAATGGGGTAAGGGGGGTATATGGGGGGGGTTCGGGAGGTCTAGTCAGAACTAATAATGCTTGGTTTGTTCGATATCGTCAATAACACTTTGCAAGTAAAGTAATTTTTACACGCATTTCCACTGCTAAAATACGAAACTCGAAAGTTTAAAAATTAAAAATTAATTCATTCTAACTCTCCGTGATTTTTTTAAAGACGTTAGGATGTTGACATTTTTTTCGGTATCGAAATAAATTAAATCCAGCTGAAAATGGATGGCATGACTTACGGCAGGGGTTTGGCCTCGTTGATGATGATGATATGTTCGAGTTGGGGCAATTCAGTGGTACGGACGGCTCCTTGGCCCTCCGGCTGTGATGAGAGGCCCGGGACTAACTGAAAAACCGCGCATTTTTATAATACAAAATCGGGTACGGTAGCTTTTCCAGAAATCCTCGACGAGTCTTCATTGGAAGGAATCCCTTTGCACAGACATTGTATTTTGGCGCAACATCACTTTTTCACGGACCGGAATTTTATTATGGTACTTTTTGTCGATTTGCTATCATAATGTCGAAATTGTCTTTCGCCGTTTGTCAGAATGATGAAAGTTTTTTTTTGCCGTTTCTACACCAGAAAATGAAACGCTATATTCCTACCAAACTCTTAAAAGCTTTGTAAGGAAAGGCGAAAAACCTGCTTAGATTTTCAAATTCTACATGATGTAAATCTATTAAAATACCGAGAAAACTATAGCATAAGCCTGACCTTATCGAGCGTGCCGTAGTAGTCGGATTTTCGGAAGGAGCGCGGGGTGACAAGGGCACGAACACCCACCTGAAACCACAGAATACACCTAGTAATTCGCGAAAACTTTGATGATTTTTATTACTAATCAACTAAGCCTAGCTATTGATGAAAATTCGAGGTTCTTTGGCATTATCGGGGGGCAGCGTCCATTTTTCTACTATAAACAGAGGCCGTGTTTCTAAACTGTTTTCGCTATTTAAAAACGTAGAAACTTCACAAATTTTCTTTTAAAAATACCGATTTTTCGAACAAAATTTCACCTAAAAAACTTTTTTCGAAGTTTTTAGAATTTTAAAAGTTCACCAATATTTAGAATGCTGCAAACCCAAAATTCAGCAATTTTTAGAATGTTTCAAACCTTGTTGAGCGCGTATTTCAGCTCCTCAATCTGGTAGGCCGGGTTGACGTTCACCTGAAAGACGCTGTTTTCGATTTATGTTTTCAATTCTGCTATTCTTTGCCATTATTTTTCCCCATTTCACAATTCCACCAAACGAACACGGGAATTTGTGATCAGCACCATAAAACCAACGGCCGGTTTGCTCCGGAAAGTGGTCAGGTGGTGACATTCGATTAGACACATGGCAGGGCAAAAGAACTATTTCACTTTCCCATAAAGATAAGCAAGAATTTCGAGCGCTGTCTCTCTCTCGCGCTCTCTCTCTCTCTCGCTCTCTCTCCCCAAGCTGATCTCTGTCGTTTTCGCTATTTCGAGCGCAGCGCAAAAATCGAGGGACCGAATTTTGAAAGGAATAGAACGCGATAATCGGCTTGAAAAATGGGGGGCTGGAATTTGATGGTTAATCAAAATTTATGGATTTTTGGGGCGAGCTAGCCGAGATTATTCAGGAAATTTCAGAGCCGGTTTTTGCCGGCTTCAAATGATGCGCTCCACATCTGCCGTAACCCCACCTGAATGAGGCCGGCCAGTGCAGCGGCATGCTGTGCACACGGCAATTCGTATTAGTTCGGCCCCACATGCCGACCCGGTCGCCAGGCTGAAGCCCCAGACGGATGAAGCCGCGGGCCAGTTGGCGGACCTGAAAGGTTGGGTTGAAAAATGGTCTGGAGTGCAGCTGTCACGCCCCTTTAAAATCGCTCACGTCATGTGTGGTAGGAGCACTCGTGGTGCGGCGGATTTGTTGGTGGCGAAAGTGGGCGAACTCTTCGGATGGCACCTGCTCGACGGCCTGGAAGACGGTCGCCATCGTCTGGCTCAGGATATTTTTGTCAGTTCTTTCTGTCTTTTTAAAACTCCCTAAACTTAATACAGTTACCCTTACCCAGATCCCTATCAAAACATAAAAGCCCAGATTTTCGTCAAAATTCGAATTTTCAAATGTTCTAATTCAATTTGCCCGAAAAATCGTGATTTTCGGCAAATATGGCCAAATTTCGACAACACTTCGATTTTTGTGACTTTTAAAACTTTAATAGATGGGTGCACAAGCTCGAAACTCGGTTCAATTTGACTAAAAACACAATTAAAATCCTAAATATCACGTTACTAGACATTTACGGACGATGTCGACGTGTGCGGGCGCGTTGCGTACCGATGTAAAACGATAGAAAACACCATTGTGCTGCAAAAAGGCGACACGCAACGCGCTCGCTCTAGCCGCGACGCTGGTAGTCCAATTTTCCAGTCAGCTTTGAAACTTACATCGTGCAACAGCGGAATATCGGAAGCCCCGTGCACATAGCTGGGCCGCGGCTTTGGCATCCTAAGTTCAGGACTATCAAAAAAAAAAACAAAAAAAATCCAAGATTTTAAAAACGCCAGAAACGTACTTGGCGATGGTGGTGCGCGCGGCCTTGGCGAGCTGCCGCTGAACCGACGCCAGCTTCATCGCCTAAAAATATGAATACGGGGCGATTATATTTGATCCCACCTAGCACTCGGAAAATGTAAAAGCTGAAACAATACATGGGATTTTTCCGGTTTCGAAACACCGGAATTACACCAAATTCAAAGGCCCTGAGATGTTTTGCGGTGATATTCAAGTTAGCTAGGAAAACCATGAAATTTCTATGTTATTCTGCCAATCGGCCAGAGAAAAGGAGCAACCCTATAATTTTGACGGCAATGTAGAGCGCTGTCTGATAAAATTACGAAAAAGATGAAACAGAAAATACACGGAATTCGATTTACCAGTAAAACCTTGGATCTTAGAAAAAACACTAAGTTTAGCAATACGACCGGAAAGGCCATCACGAACTTTTCGTAATTTTCCGGTTTGACGAATTTTAAAAAAATCGTGCATTTCATACGTGAAAATAGCCAATTTGAGCAGATTCTAGCCAGCTTCCGTGAAGCAGAAATATGAAACATTATTTAGTGTTAAATAGTCTACCATAAAATTCTTATAAAAGTGTCACAAAAATTAGAGTCCTTTAATCGAATTTTCATGGGGTTTTTGGAGCAGAATTTAGCCAGAATTCAAGTGCAAAATCTGTTTCTCTTCTGCCCTTCTGCGTCTATTTTTACTACAAAAAAATTTTTCTTAGATTTTACGACAGCCACGAAGGTTCCAAAAAGCTACAAAAAGCGATTGCTGATAAGGGGAAAAAAACCGAAACCTAGAACCTAGAAAAACCGAAATGAAGGGGGAAGCAGGAAAAAGGCTTTTTAGAAAAATAAACATGGGCCATCTGACTAGTTAAGGTACGTTACAAGGTTTGCTAACTAACAATCACAACCCAAAAAACTGCCGGCTAAAATTTAGTTTGTTGCTGTGATCGGGGCGGGCCGGGAAAAGCAAGAGTTCCATGTCAAAATGGATGCCACGAGACACACGAGGGAGAGTAGGCTGGCTATCTGATCTGTGAGCCCCGGCCGGCTGGAGCCGCATAAAAAAAATAATCTCCGCCCTGAAAGGCGACTGAAAAGGGAGGCGAGCGCTTTTTCTGGGCGGACAGCTGGCCGATCAGAGGCCCCGAACGCTGCCAGAATCCGCCCAAACTTCAAATAGCCAAAAAAAGTTGATCGAGCATGGGAAAGTTTAATTGCGACGTGTCAATGCACCAGAAAAGCTCGTTAAAATTCTAAAACCTAACTTTTGAAAGGCTTTATGGTTTTTTGGTGCTTGTTGTCCCTAACAATGTAAATAAAAATTCGTTTTATTGATTTGGAAAACTTTAAATGCACGCAAAATTCGGATTGAGCATGAGAAAGTTTAATCGCGACGCGTCGTTTTCTAGGAAAGAAAGCTCAATCAAAGTTACAAAACAAGTTTTCGAAAAAGTCACTCATTTGAAAACTTTAATTTCCCAGCAATTTATCTAGTTTTTTAGCCTGCGTTCCGTTGATAAAGGATAGGAACTTCTGGAAATCCATTGATATTGTTTTATTACTGCTTTTGAAGTGATACAACGATAAAAAAGCAAAATTTGGGTAAATTGAACAAACCCATTGAAGAGTTCTGGTAAAATGTTGTCTTACCTCTTGCGATGCTCACATTTATATTTTCCGGCAGCTAACACCCGCCCTAAAAATTTAAAAAAATTGAGGCGGTGTTTAAAATTTCAGTACAACAGCGCCTTTCCTTACGATATTTTCAATTTAGCTAATTATTTTTATTTAGATAACGTCTGACCTTAACCCCCGTAAAACAACGCTCAAACATTGACGGCAGAGTTTTTGACTTACCCTAACCAATGCTTGTGGATTCGAAGACAAATAGAAACGGAGATCGGGGAAACACGAATGGCAGCCAGCCGGTCGCTTTGAACAACTCCTTTCCCCCGAATAGAAATCGGAAAAGGCGCCGTCTTGGCCTGAGA